ACGAACTGATGCTGATTATCGGAATCTGGTAGACGAAGATCATCATCATGGACCGAGTATTCTTGCAAGACTTCCAGCATTTGATTTAGTCAAGCAGGTGACGTTTGATTGGATGCACCTCACTTTGCTTGGCTCAGTGAAGAGACAAACTTTAGCAACAGTGAAGGGTGGGAAGTTGTTCTCGAAAGACGTGAAATTATCCGCTCAAGACATNGAATTTCATTGAATGGTGGTATTCTTTTCAATAATGTGAGAATTCCACTAATTGTACGCTGTTTCATCGCTGATGCTCCCGCCCGAGCTATGATGTTGAATCATAAATATCCTACTGGATACAATAGTTGTTCTAAGAGTTACCCCAATGGTGCACCACGAACTGATGCTGATTATCGGAATCTGGTAGACGAAGATCATCATCATCGACCGAGTATTCTTGCAAGACTTCCAGCATTTGATTTAGTCAAGCAGGTGACGTTTGGTTGGATGCACCTCACTTTGCTTGGCTCAGTGAAGAGACAAACTTTAGCAACAGTGAAGGGTGGGAAGTTGTTCTCGAAAGACGTGAAATTATCCGCTCAAGACATTGAAATCGTCAATTTTCGACTTCGAGCGATTCGTGATTTCTGTCCTCGAGAGTTCGCTCGTCGCCCTGGAAAAATTACGGATTATGCGCGAATGAAGGCAACGGAATTCCGTCAACTCATATTGTATACGGGGCCAGTCATTTATTTCGGAATTCATAAGCAGAGAACATTCGACCATTATCTATTCCATCACACAGCACTACGATGTTTAACTTCACCTCAACCATCGGAATTCGAGATCGCATTCGCAAGAATTGCTCTCGATGTATGGGTAGATGCATGTACCGAAATTTATGGACCACAATTCCCCACATATAATACTTCTGGTCATAGACATCTTGCTGACGATGTTGAGAATTTCGGACCTTTGGATTCTCACTCTGCCTTTCCGTTCGAAAATGCTATGGATATTTTGCGAAAACTATGTCGATCACCGACATAGCTTCCTCTCCAACAAATTTTTCGACGATTCGAAGAAATCGATGGCAGAAGGCCTCAACATGAGAGAAACCTTTCCAAGAAACAAGTCCAAGCTGGACCGCTACCACCGAATTGGATTCACTCCATTCCTGTGCAGTACAAACTATTAACAACTCCACGATTCACTCTCGGTATCAACATTCGTGACAATTGTTGCATCCTGAAAGATTTATCCATCTGTCTCATACGAAATATCCTAGTAACCAATCGCAATGATGTTCCAAAGTATTATCTTGCAGTACAAAAATTTGATATCACTGAATCATGGTTCAATGCAGGAATAGAGTCGAGTAGGATTGGGAGTTTCAAATGTTGTGATCTAAATCGGAATCTCATGTACATTCAATGGGAGGACGTATGTGCAAAGTGCTATCGAATGCCCTACTGGCCTCCACCTGCTAATAATGACCCACCGCCTGTACTACCATTAGCTGATGCATACATAGTTACCGTGATGTGGTGAAATTGATATTGGGGAGAGAGGGCTACAGTCTTTTGGAGAACGAAGAAGGATATAAATTATGAATAATTTAGCCAATGAGTTTCTGTACAATATTCATAAGTTTTCTAAAATTGGATTTTCTGAAGAAGCATTACAGATGAACAAATAGTAATGCAGATTGTTTATCTCCTGTACTGACCCCAAAATCTTATATTCAGTCATTCAATGGAACTTGTCAGACTGAAAAGTTGAACAAAACTATTACGAGAGTAATTGGGAGAGTGGAGAAGAACAGTGACAAGATCCCCGCGGATCATTGAATCAAAACAGTCCTTTCCTTTTCACCCTTCTGATCGTTCAACAGTTGTGTCCCATTGGACCTTTATGATCGCTTTGCATCACTTTTGATCTATTTGACCTTTGTCATCATTAAACTTTCATTCAATTTTTATTATTGTTACGCTTTACACACATACGATATATATATATATATATATATATATATATATATATGTATGTGTGTAACCGATTCAGTGTAGCGAGGATAATTAAATACTAAATTTTGGAAATCAGTTGAATCTCGACTAAAATTTTTTTTTCCACGTTATCCAGCCCGATTTCGGAGATGGTGCTGATCGCATGATCAGTTCTCGAGTTATAGCTGTGAGAAAGTCAAATCTTGAAAGTGAGAAAGACAAAAACTATGGGTTTTTGACTCCATACGACACTATATGACCTCCGTACCCCCTCCATCTGACAACACTATGACTCCTATATAAAACATGTGACATTCATATGAGCCACATGTGACCTTTATAGGACTCCTAAATGACCCCCGTATGGCCCATATATTAGCCCTAGATGACTTTCATCTGGCTTTTCCTGACTTTTGCTCTCATAATGCTGAACTTTATTCAAACCCATATTCAGAATCCTCCTGGGCCTTGTTTTGGGCTTTCCTGATCGTTGTTTTGACTTTTACTGGCCCTTACTCTTATCCTTCTTGACCCTCATTTTCACTCGGTCTGACTCTTCCTGATGCATATTTTGAACGCTCGTTAAGGAGAGGATCACCTGAAGAAGAAAACTTTTTTGTTTTTCCTGTGGTCCAAGGAGCATTTTTAACGATGTTGGGGCGAGGAGTAGGATATTTTGAAAATGCAGCCAAGTTTATGAAACTTTTTTCACATGTTATTTAATCTATTTAGGCGCCTTTTGCAAAATTTTAGAAGCCCCAGATACAAGACGACAACAAAAACTAATTCTAAAGTTGCCAAGTATACATGAGGTTAAAGGGAGCATCGATAACTCGTACATTTTCCCTACATTATCGACCAGTCGGCAATGTGGGAAAAATGCTGAAATTATCGATGACCCATTTAACCTCATATACAAACTGCAACTTTGAAATTCATTTTTGTTGTTGTCCTGTATCTGGGGTTTCTGAAATTTCGCAAGAAGTGCCTAAATGGATTAAATAATATGTGAAAAAAGTTTCATAAAATTGTCTGCATTTTTAAAATATCCTACTCCTCGCCCCAACATTGTTAAGCTAAGAACGTGAAAATGACGTTTTTGGCGGATATACGGGGCAAAACGGTTCAAGTCCGAAATTTTTCCTACTTTTTTATAAATCCCTTTATATATCAAAAGTCGTCCAATGGCTCTTAAGACCGAGCCGAGACTTTCAAATTTCACCGCGGTCTCCCTTTAAGTTGAACTGACGAACTGACTTTTCGATTAAAAAAATCGAATCTCTCATTTTGAGTGGTCGGAGAAAATTTTGAGCTGAAAAATCGGATTCCTGAGGAGTAATCAGAGGAGAAATTGTATTTAATAATTTAAATTTCCGAAAAACAAAAATAATGTTTAGAAGTCGTCTTTAACACTTTCTAAATCCTATTTTCGCTCAAAGCTAGAGCGTGAACTACGTTCAAAATAACCGTTAAATTACGGTTACATAAACGTAGCTTACAATGTATAATTTGTAAATTACGATGATTTTCTCCGGATTTCATGTTTTGTTATGTGTAATTCAAGACGACATAACTTTCGATCAAATGACACAGAGAAACAAAATGCATAAAATTTGGAAAAAAGATTCTTGATTCTAGAAATCATGATTTCTAACGTTCATTTTTGTAGCTTCTTAAATAAATCCCCTAAAATCTACGACAGAATCGTATGAAATCGTATGAATCGTATGAACTTATTATGCAGAAATGCGATTAATTCTGAACCATAATATTATCAAGTTTTGTGAAATTTTCCAAAGAAATTTTCAATTATTGTCGTACAGATAGTGATAAATGGGTGAGTTATATATTTGTGGGGGAGGAAGGGATTCGTATAATGAGAGTCGAAAATATAAGAGGGTCGCGAAAGTCATGTATGAGAGTAAAGAATGAGGGTCACAGGAACAAGGGTCACAAGGGAAAATCCTCATAAATATAATACAAATGAAGGAATCAAGATAAAAAAACGTCAGAATTAAATGGGGATCACGAGAGTCAGGTGTAAGGGTCAGAAATGAGATTCAAAATTCAATGGATTCAATTTTTCGTACAATTGAATCCATTCAATTCATTATATGGCGCTATTACTATAGAGAAAAATTCATCAACTCATGAGCAAACATTGATCCAAAATGAATCATGAGTTCAAATACAAAGAATGAACTTCTCAGAACACTTGAGTATCCTATTGAGTATATTTTAGAAAACCGCCATACTTCCTCAATTATATTATGAAAATTGATTAATATTGAAATTTTCCAATATTTTATCTAAAGCGAGTAATATCATGAGGTAGAGGTGGGTCAAAACTATGAATCCACAAATTGAATTAAATTTTTTCTCAGCTGGTGATATTCATTTATTTTTAATTGCGACAATGTGATGACAAATTTATTGCAGAAATTAATTTTAGCACTCTTGCTGACGTTGAATCAAAATCATCAGGTTATTTCACCCAAAATTATCAGCTTTTTTCCCCCAAAGTTATCAGCTTTTTTCCCCTAAAATTATCAGGATATTTCCAGCAAAATTAGCAGGTTATTTTCCCCCAAATATTATCGGATATTTTACTAAAAACTTGGACATTATTTACCCATTTTTCAACCGATTCCTGATCGGTAAAATAAAGGCAATGTCTAACCTTATTATTCAGCAAGTTTGATCNAAAAATTTACACTATTTTAGGATTTGGAAATTGATTTTTATATTTACTCCGTTATCAGATAAAATAATATATTCTTAAAATATGCTTATTCAGACTCTATTGTAATTTTTTGCGGAAATTCAATAAGTTCATGAAAACTTATTTGTAATCCACTGTACACACTCCATTCAAATTCGTCGAATTCATCGTCATCATAGATACCAAACCAGTCGGTGAAGGTATTCTCTCTCTTCGGGATCGCATTTCTTATGTATATCAGCTGTTGAAAAAAAATAATTTCATAATCATTTGTCAACTTTATTTTCACTTATACATGGTTAAAAAATTTTGGCTGAATTATCCAACACAATCCTCGGAAAATTTCATCATAATACAACGTTAGTGAAATTTCAGAGGAGTTCGTTATTGATGACTGAGAATTTTAGGGAGAACTCAGTGCGGGTGGCCAATTTCGGTTTCATTTTTTCCTCAAAATTAAGAGCCAGAAAATTTCGAACAATTAATCTTTGAATTTTTAGGACCACGACACTGAATTAATTTTGAGGGAAAAAGAACATGAAATGTCCGGTTTTACTCAAAATTGAATTGAATTCAACACTGAATGATCATATTTTATTGAACATTCAGGTGAATGAGGGAATTCTCAGTTACAGGCTATTCAAAATTCTGGAATTTCAGGGCTATTTTCTTCGAGGGGAAACCAAGCCCCTGTGTCTATAGGAATTCAAGAACTTACGCACGAAAAGATTTAATAGAAAATCCTATAGAATTCTATAAAAAATTCTATTGGATTTGTATTGAATGTTCTATAAATTTTTTGCCGTTTCTATAGGATATATTTTATATAAAAAGTTAATAGAAATCGATGTCCTATAGAATTTATTCGGCTCAAATTTTGTAAGTTTTTTTCATTGAATTTTTATTTTCTTCCCTTCAAGAAAATCGTGCGTGCTGTGTTTTTTTCTGACAATTATCATTTTTCATTTTTGAAACCTTTAGTGACTCGATCATTGCATTGAGCAGTCAATGAAGTAGTTTTATAAACAAAAAAATGATAAGTGTAAAAAAAACACGATTGTAAAATTCTTATAGGAGTTCCGTTTCCCCTTAAATGAAATTCCGGGCCACCGTCCTGAAAATGACTAGTGAGCTATCCTCGAAATTTCCTCTCTTTCCTAACAGTGTAGTAGGATTTTCATAGAAAAATTTTCAATGGTATGGACACTATAATCAGAATATTGGTATAAATCGGTGGAAATTTCTAGTAAAATGAACCAAGAGAACTCACGTTGTGTAATGGATGGGCGTACAGCAATTCCACCATCTTTGCTGCGTCATAGATTTTTACTTTGTAATATTTCTGAGTTTCTTCGTGATGTCCGTTGAAAATGATTAAAGGGAGGAATACCCGACCATCAACTCTGCGCAATCCCACCTCGGTCATTACTCGGCCTGTCAAACTATTCGATTTTTTTTTGCAATCAATACAATTCACAGTAATATTTTAGTAAGAAAATGCTATGACACTGAGAAAAAAATCTAAAAAACAGAAATTTCACTTTTTCCGGCGAATAAAGGACTGTTGCACAATATAAAATAATCAATAGCCGTGAGAAAGAAAGAGTGAGAATGTGAAAAACGGTTATTCATTCATATGATCAACATCAACTCACTTTTTTGGAACTCCTTCTTGGATATTTTTAATTAAATTTGGATATTGAAGATAAATATGCATGTCGAGGTTATCCATTTTGTTATAGGGTCGGTTTATCAGTTGTTTTATGTTTTGGTGAACTTCAATCCAATGACAATATCATGTTCTTTTTACAGTGTTAAGAAAGAAAGAGAGCAGTGCAATTAACAGCCTCGTGTTATGCAAATAACTGCATCCCCTCCAACCGCCGATACTTGATAATTAATTTTTACGTAAAAAATTTGAAGGAATGCGAAAATTAATGCAGGAAGGGAGAAACGAGCGGTGCAATGAGAGGAAAATAAAATTTCGCCAAGTATAAAATTAGAGTAAAAGATAAGGCTTCAACTATTCCACGTGAAGTACGGTAACTGTGGTGCTAAATATTTGTACTGGTAGTAGAATATGATAGCTGATACTACTAAACACAACAGGCACGTTAGTTGAATCATATCTTGTTTCTGTTTTTTAGAGATCAGATTTCTATTTTCGACTGTGAAGTGGTTTAGACTTCTATTAACGCTGTCAAATTCACCATTCATATCAGACTGGTGTCTGGTTATTGAATTATATGGTCCTGATCATGAATGTAACGCGTGGTCGAGACAGGCCCTGAACCGGGCACGCGTGTCCGGATCTTATACGGAGATCCTAGCCCCGACCTGATCTGTGGAACTACATCAGGTCCATGCCGAGTTAACTTATACGGTCCTAATTGAGTCATTCCAAATTGTGGCATTCCAAATTTCCAAATTTGAGTCAACTCTGGGTTCGATCCATCACAGAAGTGGAATTGGATTTTGGAATGGAATAACTACGGATCCATTCGGAAGCATACTACCAATGGAATTGGTAGAAATTAAAAACGAGAGAAAGTAGTATCACAAAAAGCGACAGTAAAAAAGCTTCGGTAGAATAGGCTTCTACCTCTGCTTGTTT